TGATAAGTTGCCGACGTGGATGCAAGGAGAAGGGGATAACGATGTTGTTTAGGGGATGGCGAATGATGTGCTCATCTATCACCGTGTCAATGTAGGAAAACCGAAGACGCCCATTGGGAGATGTCGAGCTGCGTGTCAGCTGATAACATGCACAGAGGTCGGATATACTTGGGACGAGCACGAGTCAGTCCTCTTGGATCGACAGCACGTAGTAGGCACCTTTCAGGATTAGGGGTCTACGCGATACCAATACTTACTTGAATGAGAAAACACTCAAACTGGAAGTGGAACAGGCGCACATCGTTGTTCACCCACCCTGTCCGTTTTTGCGTCTGTAATAGCCTCCCCTGGACCTTGAGGCAAGGCATACTAACCACGCAATTGAAACCGTGGCAAGGGGCTGCGACGGGAAGATCCCGAGACATCCCACTCCCCCGACCATGTACCATCAGCAACCCAAATGGGTCAAGTCCGCATTTAGTAAATAGCTCAGATAACGTCTAAATCAGGAAGGCGGATGGGGATCACATGAGCATGGATTCAAGATGAATTAGAAGAAAATTATATTACAGCGTCCTTGCAACGTCCGAGACATGGAATAAAAGTAAGCAGATACCAAATTCTAAATTTCGGGTGGCTCCTCTTCGAGAGTGATCCCTGTCTAGACAGAGAGAATATTGTTGAGATGGCTCGTTTCGGTGCGCGTTGCTTGACTTCATGATCGCTCAACACACCCGGATTCTCTTTTTCTTCTCCGAAGTCGGCCATCTCATCTCGAATGATCTTGACAACATCGCTATCCAGGAACTTGTTCAAAACTCTCCACTCGTCGGTCTTGAAAGGGGGTATACCCATTCTGAATATCAACTTTACGACAAGTAATGAACTCACAATTGTGTAAATGTGCATTACTAGCACCCAAGCCATCCTGAAAGGTATTTACGAAATCTCTAGACGTTCGGTAACTTTCATTCGCATTCTGTTTAGCGAGATTCTTGCACCCCGCTCCATTGCGATGCCTCTTGAGCGCTGTCAATATGTTTATAAAATTTGGGAGAACGAGGGGTTTGTTGAAGGTAGCGATGAGGAAAGACCAAGGGGGTGGCGGAACGTGGTTTTTGCATATACAGTCCCAAAATGAATTAAGGCACCCTTGGCGTACCCCCCCTTACCCCCCCAAAAAAGGAAATTTTCCAAGTTCTTATGTCAAAAACATTAAGATTTCAACATTTTTTGAGTTTCTACATGTGACGACACTTCACCCCCATATCCAAACAAGTCGGACACATCCAAGACTTTACTCCACGGCTAACCTTCACGCATTTCAGGTGAAACTAAAGTGAGCGGCTGGTCAGAAAAACATTTCGATGATTTCCAAAATATTTACGTACCCATAGAGTCTCGCAACCCTCTCCCTTGCACTCAATAGCATCTCCTCCCTCTCTCTCAATCAAACTTACTTCCTCCCCGCAACCGTGACATCCTCGGTCCAAATGCGGTCGTTTTTTACCGCGTGTGCGTGTGCGCCGGCTGCCGTTATCGTTGCCTTCTGGAGGAACAGCCTGGGGAACGGGTGCAGGGTCGAGATTGTAGGCGACGTCGATTTCATGGTTTATGTTGAGCTCTGGTGAGGATCGATGTATAGATTCTTTTATATTTTGCTCAATCTCCGACACAGTGGGGTGCGAGGCGGACACTGTGATGGGCCGGAGTAGTGCATTCCTCCGTGCAGTTGTGACGCTAGGGAGTGACATAGCCAAATGGGCGAAGGATCCCACGCAGTTACCACCAATCCAGAGGAGAACAATGGACATCATGATCTCTTCTCTCGTAAAACCCTTCGGTTTGTAGAGCTTCCTCGCCGCTTGTTCGTATTGAGCGATGAGTCCTTTCACACCAAGCTTCTTTCCCCTTCCAGCCTGAACCAGAGCAGCCACACGATCGACTCTTCCGCTCTCAACTGCCAGCACCCACTTTTTGTGGTCGTCTAACGCTGCAATCTTCACCAAGACTTTCTTGCTCTCGTTCAACTTCATCAAGCGCAATTCAACCAGTTGTTCGGATTTCCGCCGCATTAGCTCTGTCAGCGATCCAATAGGATGATACACAAGAGGTGTGTTCTCATGTATCCCACTCTCGATGCGGCCAACGATCCCTTCGTACAGCACGTTCAACGTTATCTCCTGGCAGGAGTCACAAACTCTTCCACAAGCGGTTGTAGCATGCAAGTAAGATCCTACTCCTATATCCTTTCCGCTCCCCGAAGTCTCCCCTTTATGCCTACTTACTTTGTATTATGTCATGCTTTACATAAGCATTGTAGTTATACCTCATGTAGTACATGAGGCAATAGTATCTCTTTTACCACCACCTGCAAATCTCGTATCGTTCGGATACAAAGGCCCTACCAACGGCTTTGCTCTGAACTCTGAGAAACCGCAAGTAGGCATCGAGAGGAATCGTTTACGCAATCTCCACAGGGACTGTCCGTGGAGATCGGAACACGGGTATGCTGAACGGTCACGTTCCACGACTCCGAGCGCACAACGATTCCGTTTGGATCAACTAGGTGAGTCTTCACACCTCTGTACGTCGCGTTCGCTAGGTGCCCCAACG